TGTATTGGGAGCCCTGGTCAAAGGAGACCAGAACCTGTGCAAAACGAGCAGAAAGCCAGAAATCTTTCAGGCAAGCAGCACCGGACCTTCACAGCCAGCATTGCCATCGGGGCCTACCGGCCGGAGCAAGCAGTCCAAAGCGAACGTCGCCACATCCACGAGGATGAACACTCTGCAGGAAAACAAGCATGATCGCTATTGCAGCGCCGGCCTTGTTGGATGCACCACAAGAAGCGGAAAAGCGCCAGTCAGCTAAAAACATGTCAGCCCCGATGCTTTGTCGACTAACACCGGAACCCTCACACCATCCATCCAGCACCATGACAACTGCACCGAAGTCCGTGGAAAGCGGGGTCCCGGATTTGAGATCGGGCGGCGCAATCACTCTAGCCCGGCCGCGAAGCGGGCTCATTGGCACCCTCCTCGGGGCCGGCATCCGATCCAGATCCATTCGTTCAGCATGGTGCTCGCACAGTGAAGAAGTTGATACAGGTCCGAGATGCCATGGCCTTTCTTTGGGCAGTGCAGCTACCAGCAGGCACATTAGCCCTGTGCCCTCCCGCGAGAATGTTGGCCGAGCGGCAGCAGCACACACCCACAAGTGCACCAAGCCCAAGCTTGTCGAAGACCATGCCGAAGAATAGCGACAAAGAAAAGAAGCTGCTACCCTTGAAACTAAATGCGACTTTTGCCACGCACTGTAAAGAGCACAGCGAGTCATCTTCAAGTGTCGGTGCCCAGAGGGGCCGAGGCAGCGAAGCTGGCAGTCAGGATCATCAGCAGCAAACATGGCAAGCGAGGAGACTATGCAGCGAGTGCGCAGCTAGTAGGACTGGTTCGAGCCGTGGTGCTTAGGTGATGTTATCAAGAGAGAGTGAGAGTGAGAGAGAGAGAGAGAGAGAGAGAGGGGGAGGGAGAGAGAGAGAGAGAGAGAGAGACTGGCATTTGAGTCTGGAACCACCCAACATCGTCCAACAGTCATCGTGCAACAGGTATGCCTTGATGGTTCTCTCCGAGAAGCGCTCGAACCTCTGAGAGGGGCGTGGCAGTCACGATTGCGTTGATGCAACTTCCAGTCTGGAGAGAAAAGACTTGGCAAGGAAAACGCAGAGTGTGGCTGCGAGGTTCATCAGGTTTCGGTGCTGACTAAAAAATCAATGCTTTGTCTGAGCCATTCTTCTCATACGTGGGAGGGGGGGGAGGGTGCATACGTCATCAATGTTGAGAGTCCAAAAGATCCCTATCTCCCGCTTAACATTCAACTGGGGGTCCCATGTCAATAAACTCAGCTACTTGTAGATTATAGTATATTATAGTATATTATGGTATATTATGGTATATTATGGTATATTATAATATATTATGGTATATTATAGCATATTATGGTATATTATGGTATATTATCGTACATTAGAATAGACTATGGTGTTCCTCTCTTATCTTTCCGGGCACCGAGCACCATGGCTGTTCGTGTCACCAGCGGCCGCTCCAAGGACCTCTCAAAGCCCATGCCCGGAATCCTGCTTAAATGGTTTAGGTTTAAGGGTTTAGGGTTAAGGGTTTAGGGTTTAAGTGTTTAGGGTTTAGGGTTTAGATGATATATTATTACTACTAGTATTACTCATATTACTATAATTTCGAGCATTTTCTTACATAATCAAATACGAGTTGTCAATATCCAATGTTAAGATGTTGTAATTATATAACAGATGCAATAATTCCTATTTTACTGTTATTACTATTGCTACTAAGGCTGAATGAGGATGATCCCGATGTTTCTACGTTGTTTTCTGGGAGGAAGTTCAGGAACGCCTGGCATGTAAAACTGCACTCTCAACCCAATGTTACCCATAAGAATCCCAGTTTCCATTTCATTTTCCATTTTCTTGTCCGTTTGATTCTCCATTAATGGGGTATTATCCCTATAGTACCACGGTTCTCAGGTCTGCCTGCCTGCACGGAGAGGCCAAAGTGACCTTCCCAGCCGCCACCTACCAAGAATGGGATTCATAGCTGGATGACTGACAGCAATGACATCACTCCCCAAACCCGAATCCCCATAACGTTCATTGGCATGCTGAGACAAGGCCACCGGAGTACCAACCGTCAAAGGAGTTTGGGCGCAACGCTCTCCAAGCGCAACCCAACCTGGGTGCCGGTGAGCTTCGAGGGCCTGGCGTGGGCTTGCTGCAAGGTGTATAGGGGTCATATAATGAGAACGGAAAAGAAAATGGAAACTACTATCGTATAGGGTTTAGGGTTCAGGGATAATGGAAAAGAAAATGAAACTATTGTTTAGGGTTTATGGGGTTATATAGGGGATATATAGGGATGATGGAAAAGAAAATCGAAACTTGAATGTTGCTATCACTGTGGTTTTTGACTTTGCTCATTTTTGTGATCGGCTTGTGATGTGGATTGGAAATTTGCACTTTCTAACCCCTATATAGCCCTATAATACAGTAGTTTCCATGTTCTTTTCCATTATCCCCTATATAACCCCCATAATCTCTAAACAGTAATTTTCTGTTCCATTATCCCTACACCCTATACTATAGCAGTTTCCATTTTCTTTTCCATTATCCCCTACAGAACCCCCAAGATAACCCCTATCTTGCATGGAACCCCGGCCTCGGGCTGCGCTGGCCTGAAGAAATCGCAAGAGAGCTCTCTCAAAGCAACTTTCTCCTGTAGACCCCCTCCGTTTAAGGGCCTAAGCATAAGGATTCCTATTATAATCCCTATATTAAGGAGGGGGGTTATTCATGACCCTCCTTTTAAGGGCCTAAATATTAGGATTCCTATTATAATCCCTGTTAAGGAGGAGGGGTCATTCATAAGGGGTCTACATTACTCTGTGAGACGGAAGAGCAAAGCAGGGCATCTGTGAGGATCCCTCGCAGTGTACTGCTGAGGCCCACCAGGACGCGATTTAGGGTTTAGGGTTTAGGGTTCAGGACGAAGAATATTACCCTGCTTTGCTCCTTTGCATTGAGGCGCCAGCTGAGAACGACCGAAAGGGAAGAGAACCTTTTGCAGTGGCAGAAGTCATGGGAACAACGCAGGAGACTCAGTCTATACGGCTGTACAATTTTGTGTCAGCTTCTTCGCTTGGCTCCAACGAGGCCCCGGCAGAAATGCGGCCATTGCCATGGCAGGCCCCATGGACTCCAGTCCCTGGCGCTCAACACGTGGGCTGCAACAGATGCTCAAATGCATAAGAAGGCCTCCATACCATCTGCTGTTGCATGAAACCTCGGGCAGCGTCCGCGTGCAAGAAACGCGTTGAGGCCCGCGCCCATCAGAAATGACCCACAGCTGCTTCTAGTCAGTATGTCACATGAACTACAGTCTAAACTCCTAGTATCGCCCTTAATAGCCCCTAAAATAGTCCCCCATATAATCCCCTATATAACTGCCTTCAGGGAGTTTAGACTAATTATAGCTCATATAACAGGTGTGCTCATGATAACAGACCAGTGGCCAGTATCTATTTGCTTTCTAACATGTACTGTCACCAACTCAGGCCGGCACGCAGTGCGAGGCACGCCTGCAGGGAGCGCTTCTGAACACAAGGATAGTTATGATTCTTAGGGTTTAGGGTTTCGGGCTTAGGGTTGAGGGTTTAGGGTTTAGGAGTTATGATAACCCTATAAAAGAGAAATCAATGGCAACGGCTGGTATCACTGTCATCCTTACTTGTTGGCTGAATAACCTTCAAGAGCATAAATGTGTTCCGAATACGACTTCCTCTCGCACGAGCTTTACACAAAAGCAACCTCAAGCACGGCAGCCACGAGATAGACTAGAACTTCATCTGCAGAAGCCAAGGCACCTGTCGAGTTACTCCTGGCAAGGCCAAAACAGCTGCAAGCAACCAAGAAACTCATGGATTGATGGTGTCTTAGGATGATCACAAGAACCGCTAGCTGGGGATACAAACACCTGAAAGACGTAAAGCAGACTGCTACTACTAGACTACCACTACCACCATACCACTCTACTACTGCGATTCTTTCCATCTCTGATATCCCTTCAACCCTACAACTACATATATACTTGCAGACAGTGCGCTGTAGCCACAGGGCCTACTGACTCCGTCCTGGCAGCCGAAACGCCCAGGCGCGGGTAGCTCAAGAAAGCTGCGGCTAAACTGGAAGCGGCCACGGCCTGCGGCTCAGATGGGATCTAGTGGCAGCAAGCTGCAATTCCGAAGATGGGGGTTAAGGTTATGTCATTTGAGAATTACACATAACATGGAAAGTAACACTAATTCGATTAGGGTGGTCAACGACAATAGCGCCTGAAACCCTCAAGCACATCCAGTCGCACTGACACAGACTTGGGTGCTCACCGCGAAAAGAATCTTCCGCCGGAACACCATGTCGTTGGCAAGGGTGGCTCGGCGCTGACTCTACGTAAGCTTAAGCAAAAGCAAAAAAAGCAGCGTTGGACGTGTCCATGGATGGTCTGTGTAGCTGTTCGAAGTTTCGTGCAGATGCTTCCAATGCATGCATCTGTGCCCTAGTAAAGATCACTGGAGCCAACAGGTAAAAAGCGGTGCCCAAAAAAGGCATGCCGAAAAACTGCTCATGAACAGCTGTTTGAGAGCCTGAGCCTGCATGTGTAAGGACATCTTTTTTTCTTCTTGGAAGTGGGTCCCAAGGTCCCCAGCTTCTTCCTCTTCCCCTTCTTCCTCTTTAACTTCTTGGTTTTGGGCTCCTTGAGCTCCGAGGCCGGTCGCTTCCAGCGGCCAAGTTGCTTTGAGCCGTTGAAGGTTTTTCGGAGAATCTTCCGATTCAGCTTGGGCCTTCGGTCGTAGAGCAGCAGGCCGTTCTTCTCGTGCTCCACGTCGTAGAGCTGGGTGAGGCAGAACCCCGCGAAGGAAGCCGGGCGCTTGTAGATCTCGTTTGTGAGATTCGCGATCCTCTCCGCCGCCTCGGCCGCGCTGCGCACGCAGGGCTGGTGGCCCTGGTACCCAGCCAGAAACTTCTTGGGATTCATCCCAAAGGGCCCAGAGAGGTCCAGGCCAACTCCAGCATACTCGGCCACGAGCAGCGGCTGGTGAACTCGGCCTTTGACATGTTTGGGTGCCAGGTCCTGGAGCACCTCTCTAGTCTCCTTAGACCTAGAATTAAAAAAATACTATCTACAATAGTTCCTTAGGGTTATACTATCTAAATATTTCCTTAGGGCTATATTATTGTAATATTTCCGTAGGGTTCTACTATAACAAAAGTGAAAATAATGCCTAAGGACAGTACCTTGGCGAACTTAGAGGCGCTCTGCGAGTAGTCGTGGAAGGACCAGACATCTGTCTGCACATGGATCCACCCGGAGGAGTCGTGGATGGGTCGCCTGTGCAGATCCATTGGGATAATGGAAAATAAAATGGAAACTACTATTTAGGGTTTAGGGTTATATTGGGGTTATATTGGGGTTATATTGGGGGTAATGGAAAATAAGATGGAAACTACTCGCCTGTGCAGATCTATCCTGCGAATGGTTTCCACGACGTTGCGGACCAAGGCTTTGTGCCGATTCACAATCTGCTCACGGCGCCTGTAAGCAGAGTTGGAGATGGCAAGATATGTAGTAGAATACAGTAGTTTACCATACATATTACAGTAAATATATATATATATACATATACATATACATATATATATATATAGATTTAATCTATTCATCCCATGCGCCTGGGCTCGTAGCGACACCAGAAGCCACCCCCCGCTCCCTGGTGAAGCCTCCAGCCGTGCTTCGGGCCGAATTCCTGGGTTGCTGTTAAGGAACTTTAAATTAAGTTACTATATTGGGGAAACCCTATTAATGACTATATATACCCATTATGGTAACTTAATTGGAGTTCCTTAACAGCAACCCAGATTCGTTGAAGGGTCCCCAGACCAGGATGGAGGGATGGTTCTGCCGATCTGCCACCAAGCACTGCCATTCCTGCTGGGAGAATGGAAAGGAAAATGGAAACTACTGTATTGTAATGTGTACATATAGGGGTACATACCTGGGAAGGACCGTTCGAATGCAAGAACAAATAAAGAGCATTATAGTAGTTGCCATTTTATCTTCCATTATCCCTATGTAACCCCAAGATAACCCTAGTATACTATAGTAGTTTCCATTTTCTTTTCCATTCTCCCCAACCGCAAGGGCGCGCCGTTCCTGCATCACGATCTTCGCGTAGGAGGTCGTTACCTCCCAGCGGGCGGAGAGGCCGCCGTTCCAGTCGGGATACTCAGCGAAGACCAGGAACCCAAGCTCGTCCGCATAGCGGAAGTACCACGGCTCAAAGGCCTGCCACACTGATAACTACCCAATATTGGGGTTCTATAGGCTGTATAGGGGTTTGTTATATAGGGAATATATAGGGATAGTGCAAAAGAAAATGGAAGCTAACACCCGCGGTTTGGGGTTTAGGGTTTAGGAAGCTTTCTTGAAGCCTTCTGGTGAAGCCGAGCCCCATTGAATCCAAAGCTCTTTGCTAACCTGGGATTGGCGAAGGAAACAAATGAGCAGAAACCTTATGCAACAAGAGAACTCAGTGCCTTCTAGGGTAAACAAATCAGAAAAGCACGTTGAAATTCTTAAAAGCCAGCAGCCGGATGTCGCGTTTCAGCGCTTCCTTGCTAGGAGCAGTCCATAGCCCCTCGGGATAATATCCCTGGTCCAAAACCAAGCGCAGGAATACCTTGGTTTAAGGTTAAGGGCCTAGAATTTGGGGTTGGGGTTCCATGTCCCTGACTACGAGATTCGTCAAAGTCCGGCATTCCTGGGCTATAGTCCTCCTTAAGCAGATAG